CCGGACTTAAGTCCATACTTACCTCTAGATTAGTTTCTAAAGATCGCAGACTACCTACCTGCGCATTCGAATTCCTTGGAACGGCGACATCTGAACGGGTAACAATACGAAGCAGCGTGTTCAGTTTGTGGTAGGTGTCTTTGGCAGCCCTAAAACTGCAGTCGGAAGAAGCATAAGCGGAAATCACAAACAACCAGTGTCTAGCGTTAATTCGTGAATGAACCTTCGTTAATGTCCTCAAACGGGCTACACACAGGTGGCTGCTCACAGGAACTCAATCAACAAACGATGACTCGGCTTTGGAGCTGAGGATGATGCCCACCCCAGCTAGCCTAGTGGTTGCTACATAAGCGTCCCCGGATGCCTGCAACCAATACCGAGAGAGCAAGCCGGGCGCAGTTAGTCCAACAAACCCGTGAGAGTCATTGATTACGGTTTCGGACACACACGACACACTTCAATACCCAGTATGTTCAACGTGCATGCAAGTGCAGCCTATTGACCTGTCTTAGAGGGCGAACGTTGAACGCTGGCAGAGAAACCGGACAGCTTGGCCTTATAAGAGCTTGTTGCTGTTAGGCGTACAGTGGGTGGTGCTGGAACATAGCTGCAAGCGGTTGAATTGCAGTGGCATTGCGGCTGCTGTCAATTAAACTTGGAGTTATAGAATGGTTAGTAATGAGGGGCGGGAGGAAAGTAGGAGTAACAGGTGGAAAAGAGGGAATTAGGCGTCAGCAGTAGCATGGTTGCGCTTATCTGCCCTGCTGTATGCAGCACATAAGGAGATCTTGTAAAGATGCGCGACGGCCGATGCAGAATGTGGCTAAATTTTGATGAAACGCTCATGGGTGTACGTCGGTTGAGAGACCGCCAGCGCATCTAGACCTGGAAAGAACGATTAGGGTCCACAAACAAAACATCTGGCTTAAAAGCCTGCCCGCAGGGCACCGGGGAGGTAGCAGTGGATTGGTAGTTCAGAAATTGATGCCGTCTTATTCCTAACTCCAACCTAGAAGACCAAGCGACTGAGCTTATGTGACCCTTTAACCACTAACCAACAACGTAAAAGTGACTCAAAATCGGTAGGGGCAGCGCCTAATGAGTTGAAGGAATACGCAAATCTTCGCACCACGTTATGGTCCAGTCTCGTTGCGACGGTTGCCTGGGTAAGGTTGTCAGTCTTGTTGATTGCCTGCACAGTGATATGCAGGTGAGGGTGCGGTTACATGGATCAACTTCGGAGGACTTCGATGTTGTCTTTGGTATGAAGCAAGGCTGTGTCTTAGCTCCTGCTCTGTCTAATGTTAATCTAACTGTCATGATGTCTACTGCTTCCAGTGCCTGTGATTACGGCGTCCGTCTCGAGCACTGTGTCGACAGTGGATCGCAGGACATTCATAAATCCGAGGTGAAAACCTGAGTACGTGAGAGGATCATGCGATATTGTCGCTTGCTGACAACTGCGTGTTGTTTGCACACAGCGATGATAGGTCGCCGTGTGTGAAGATGGATATTGCTTTAACGACGGTCAAGCTCGGACTCATCATCAACAGGAATAGAGACCGTGAACTGTCACAAAGCAAAACTGATGACGAAGTTCGAGTGGTGTCACCAACATTTCACCACCTCGGGAACATATTGCCAACGGACTTACAGAGGACTAATCAGCACGCACTGGTGTGTCGAAGACGAGAGTTGCATTTGGTAAGCTGAAACATTAGGTTTAGAAGCACACGTGGGGCCAAGCTGACGGCGTACAAATCGATGGTGCTATCGGTTCTTCTATATGGCAATGAGACGACGTTATACAATGACATCCGATATCTGGAGAGATACGGTCAGATATGCCTGTGTCGGGTTCTGCGAATCCGTTGGTGTGACAGCTTCTTACAAGGAGGTGCTGGACCGAAAAGACTGCTGCGACCCTTAAACATGATTCGAACATGTATGCCCTATGAATGTGAACGGGATACCGAAGAGTGATGAGATTGAATCACAAGGCAGTGTGATGGTTTGCATGCCTCCGTGATTCAATAAGTTGTGCTGCGTGGTGCATTTTGCACTTTCAGAACCATTCATACTAGCTTGGGGCAATGGCTAGCCGTCGCAACGAGACTGGACCTTAACGTGGTGCGACGGTTTGCGTACCTCATTGACCCATTGAGCTATACTGGGTGATGCCTCCGAGCATCTTGAGAGCTACTCCTACCAGGTTGGTCAATGGTGAGAGGTCAGACAAACTCAGTCTCCTGGTCCTCCAGGTTGGGGGTTAGAAATGGCGCCATCCGGCGAGAAAATAATGCACGTCGCGGGAGTCGGTGGGTGACATGGGTAACACGTGGCCGTACCATCGGAGCCTGGTGCGTGAAATGACGGTGCTGGGCGGCTTATTTCCTTTTCTTGTGCCGTAAACAAGGCGTCGAAGACGCTGGTTGCTCACGCGGTTACCACCACATGTGAGCTAAATTGTGAAGGCACCTGTGGTCAAACCTAACTAGCCTCTTTATGTCCGCTGATATAAGGGGCCAGGTTTCACAACCGTACAGTAGGGCCGAACGTATCGCTGCATTGTACATGCTACCCTTCAGGGTGAGTGATGTCCCGCCCGCGCCATAAGTGGCGAAGGTTGGCAAAAGCGCCTCGAGCTTTTGCTATACGGTTCGTGATCTCATCTTTAATCCCACGGGCGCTGATACAACTTCCCAGGTAGAGAAAACTGGTTCAACCAAAGTGACAGCTACGAAATGGATGAATCAAAAAATCACAAATCACCATACAGGCAACACGCACAACCTGCGCTCAAACGATGATTAACGAATAAGACTGTGAAACGTTGATGGGTGGACGCATCACGATCATTCTGTATCGATGGAGCTCCTTATTCTTCTTACCTTTTGGATGTAAGCTTGTATGTTCTGACCCAACCCAATTTTCACTCTTGCTATTTGCCATTATTTTAGCGTAGAAGATCATAGTCATTATAATAAGTACACATCAGAGTAAGGATCGCAACTGACTAGTCCAGCTGAAATGCTCACGGATGACACAAAGACCATACACAGAAAGGAAAGTTTCACCAAACTGTCACAAAGCCGATGGCCATCTTAACATGAAACGTTCAGCAGCAAGAAAATGTAGGGAGAAAAAGGTGCTAGAGTTTCAAGCCCTTTGCCGGAGGTCGAGGATCGCTGTCCATCATGAAATGATGCTAGTTTTCATCTCTTATAAGAAGCACTCATTTCTAAAGTTGCGATTAACTCCAAACACGTTATACGTCCTTTCCCGAACTATCAAAGGTCGGTGTCGCTCCAGTTGCATCCATATGCCACATAGTACTGTGGAAAGAAACAACTTCACAAAAACAGCCAGGTGTTTCCATTGTAGTTAGTTTTGAGCAGTCAGTCTATAAGATCAATTTCAAACGGTGCCTCGCGTGGTAGCTATTAGGACCCAGATGTACGGGTCGACATATTTTGCGAAAGATTACACATTGTTTAGACCGCCCGACACAGCGACACGCCCTATCTACAAACAAAAAGCGGTGACTCACGCACTATTGTCCTTTACAATATACGAGGCAGGAAGCAAGAGGTAGCTGTTAGTTGTGTTTGTTACGATAGTTGCAGTAGCGAGAGCCGTGGAAGCCACAGCTGAACCATTTGCTGAAGTGGCGATATTTTCGCTTGGACTGTAAACAGCATCTAAGTGAAGAGAATGCAAGTCGTTGCCCTCAAAGACTGCCGCGATCAACCGGTATGTACTGGGGAGTCAGAGGGTAATAAATTTCATGCCTACTAGCGATCCGGAGGTGTTTAGCTTGATAAAGTCTTGAATGGAATGGGACAAGCAACCAACACTAAGTGATGACGCATAAAACCTCCGAGTGACACTCGAAGTTGGTGGGCAAACCCACGTACAACAAAATTCGCAAAGCAAAAGTTTGACGGCACACGAGTCCCCGACGAATGAAAGCTTAGAATACATCTAACTAAACGAATGTTGATGCCACCGAGCACAAGCAGGCGGATGAATAACGAAGTCGAGCGCCTCAGAAAGGTGTTGCATTACGATACCAAGCATTTAGAGAATACGGCAGGTTTTGCCCACTAAGGCAATACCCGTTAGCATAATTTGTATGTCCAGCTTCAATGGATTTTGAGCTTGCCATATCTGTCTTCTCCGAACGTCGGTTTTGTCTCAGATCTATCCGCATCTGTAGTACCACAGAATACACCCTGTGGTAGTCTGCCATGCAATCCACATGTCAACCATTCAAATTGCGTAGGTGCGAGAGGTGTCGCAGTATCGCTTACTGCGTGCAACTACTGTCGTTCGTGTAGCAATGAAAGATCGATACGGCGTAGTGCCGATGCTCTCGTAGGCACTGGGAGACAGTTTGCTCGTTTTCACGCAACAGGCCTGGTAGGGACTGGAGGCTGGGGAACAGGAATCAACAGTTTATGGAAGTCTGGATAAGTGACACACATATAACACCATCAAGTGAGGCCACTTTCTGTGCCATCGAATAATTGTGGTCGTTCGGATCTTACACGTTTGAGGCGCGGAAGTGAGGCGGGTTTTGCTAGTGCCAAGTAATAGTCAGCAAATGTAACAACGAGTCAAGCAAACGTTGCACTGGGGCATATTAGATCTCCATCCCTAGTCGACTGAAAACAGATTGATGTTGTATGATAATGTTGTCCATAAGGTTGCGTGGTAAACTGTTAGTGTTCAACAAACGCTTCGGATGAGCGTTTATTGGTTAGAGGCTCGTTTTTCTATGCGCCTAGTTAGGAGAGATAACAGACAATATCATATAGCACCCAACAGTGACGCCATTACGGAGGCAGTGACAGTTAGTGAGGTAAAAGTGGTCGGAAAAGGTCGCATCGTAGATACCAATCATGGTTACTAATGTACTATACTCTTAAGCGAGGCATATGCATTAAAATTCAAGGATAATTAGTCGCCATACGCTTCATCACTGCAAGCTCCCTCACATTGACAAAGGACAATTGGCCAAATAAATGTCTGTATAGAATACCTGTGACGGTTTAGAACCAGGCGGATGTTTTAGCAAATATTTAACAAAAAGAGATAGGTCACTCACTTCTTCGCGTGCAATTCGCATTTCATCTCGCACGTCCGCAAACACCGTCGGCTGGATGTAGTACCCGGAGAAGCCAACACGACCGCCACCGGTGCATAATCGGGCACCCTCACTCTTTCCACTTTCGATGTAGGACATGACCGTGTTGAACTGAGTTTGGTCGACTTGTGGACCCTAGTGCATTGGACGACAATGGGATGTGCAAACGAACGGAATGATAAGTAATTCGAACAAACGGGACATGTGAACAAAACGAACTAAACGATGGAATCACTGGGGAGAAACGAAGAACAAACTTGAGCTACCATGGTGCCTGAGTCGCCGTCTGATCATAGCGCTAGGGGTGCAAAATAGAGGATTTGGGGGATTAGCAGAGATGCAAAAAGACCACCGAGTTTATAATTATATCTTCATGGGTAGTTAAGATGAAGTCCAGTCAAACATGGTTAACCAGAGCAGTTTTGCTGGGCAGCAAATACCGTAACGGCGGTCACCTTGCTCCAGACCCAATCGGAAGAGTTTGGTGTCTGAATTAATTGAGACATGGAAAAAACGACGGCCAATGTAGAAAATTTCCAAAAAGTACGCTTCATTCACGAAGCACGGGCCCGCACCAAGGGGTAACATTGTGTGTGACCGTGTGGCAAACAGAAGTAAATAAAGAAATAAAACAATTAGGATTGTTTCGGCTATTACCAGCCGGTAGCCTATACATGACGAGTAAAATAGTATAAAAAATATAATATAATAATAATATAATACATATATATATAAATATAAATAAAGAAATATAAAAAATATAAATGTAAAAAATAAAGTATAAAAAATAAAAAATAGTATAAAAAATAGTATAATGTGGCAAGAGGATGGGGAATATCTACGAACAATCATTTTGGGGACGAACCGAAATAGTTCAGTTCCAGTGTAGGATACGTAACTTACCTCCACTCTCGAAGGTAAGTACATAAAGCAGACTGAGAAGAAGCAAGGTATATATAATTCGACTTAACTGACTCAACCAATGGCATCTCCAGTTTTTGCTGGTCTGTCACGTTTGGCTGAGTTTTTTAGTTGTATTTGCTTGAAGTGAATTCCCAGCAAGAGGATTATTCGTAACATATTCCGGCACGTTTGTTTCTGCTACTCAAATCACTCAGTACCTGAACTATATCAAGTTTAGACAAAAGAATAAAACAGTTTGTGTGTATCTCAGCTTACTGAGGTTTTCACCGTCCGTCGACTAAAGTGCAGCCTGTGCAAACTGTGACTAGCCAAGGCTTGCTTTGTTATTTTTCAGAGGCCAGTGACCAGGGTATGCGGTGCATACCACACAACGCGAAGCGGCCTATCCACCTTCTTTCCAGTTATGCAAACCGGTGAGGCTCAGTGATTAGCCATGGTCTATATGGTGCCACTCAGCTGACTGAGACCACTGCAGGAGTGTCAACAATCGGGAGGCGGCGAGATGTAAACAGTTCTGACCGGATCGATAGCCGCTGAACCAAGCCACATAGCACTGGTAACTGATCGGAATCAGTTAATGGTGTCACAATTTGATAGAGATTTTAAGTTAAAAAAGGCAAACACGATAACTCTTAGTACAATGACTAAATGTTGGTCGGAGATAAGCTGCAGTGTGGAACATTAACCTGACTGTCAGTATTCTACGTGACCCATGGATTTCGTTCACCGCTTGCGAAAAAACACACGGTCGGAATATCAACAGCATCTGGTACATGGCACACGTTCAGCAAAGTAAACGAGGATCAAATAAGTAAGAGTAGAAGGATATTAGGTGTTTTCCACTCCAAATTGGATACATTCCAGCACTTTGAACCAGTACAGTGCGACCACATTTGCTTACAAGAGGCGACGTGTTAGGTAGCGATGGAATGCACTATTGATTTAAGCCAGTAGAGTCAAATAAGCCCATGCGCTATGCTGTGGCCTAACCGGAGAAGAGAGAAACACAATTTGGCTCTCTTCCATTGCGTGTTACAGAGATGGCGAAGAAAAATGAAACGAGCGAAGGAATGTTAGGTAATGGTCGAGTCTACGGGACGTTTAGAGTCACAATACAATGTAAAGTTGAGGCATCAGACGGTCGGAGGCAATCTGACGAAAAGAGGAAAACCCTCACAATGGAAGTACGCAATCTGAGTGGATAGAATGGATCAGACACATTGGAGGTGGATGCACCGGCCACACAGTCGCTTGTCTATGTGCCTCCGCAGATTGGTTAACGTTTGGCTTTGCTATAGTGAGTTATTCCCCGGTTGTTTGCTTACTTGAATCAAAGAAAGTACCTTATAGATCCAAGTGTGGTTATTAATGAAAACGAGTGAAAAATATATGTCAACGTGATTTCGGGGCCAAATATGCTATCATTTTCCCTTATTTGTCTTTACCACATAGACAACTTGTCCCTGAATAACCGACAACCCCCCTCCCCCAAGTCTTGCGTATTCAAGGCAGGTGAAAGACTGGATTTGGAAACAATTCCAGTTGAAGCATCCGTTATATGAACGGATAGCGCCAGGTAATCTTAATCCCGACCATTGTTAAGCTTAAAGTGAATCTCGGTTGGTTAGACCATTGAGACTGTTTGAAGCAAGTTAATGCTAGGTGTGGTAAGTGAGTAAAAGATAAAGTAGAATACGACAGTAAACACACCAATGGTGCCGGCTGTGTCCCACACTGTAAAGTATCGGGCCAAGTACAAGATAGACTAAACAGAATTGAGAATGCAAGACATGAGGAAACCACTGCGCCCAAGTTAGTCGTCAGGGAGTTGGTTTTCCACTGCCAAGTCAAGTTCCACGCCTCTCAAGCCTTAAGCAACCCTACACCTGGTTAACAAGATAAGCCCACTTTTCGATAAATCTCATCAGGTGTTTACAATTATAAAATGGAAAGTTTCCGTTTTATAATTGTAAACGCCTGATGAGATTCATCGAAAAGTGCTCTTCGCAACCTTGTGTTTTATCAATTCCATGGGTATAATTTTCGAGTTAAAACAAGCCCTCTATGGTTAGACGGTGGCCGGAAATATGTTCCCACGTCTAAGCCAACGCAGCCCATTCAATGTGATTTGAAGAAGTGGGTTGATTATCAATGCATAGTACCCACCCATACGCGTTATCGTTACGGGTACGTAAGTACCACCGACGTTAAGAACGGTCCACACAGACAACGATGATGAGAGACTAGGCGTTTCAGATCCTTAGACTGAAGGGGCCAAGTTTTTCTCAGATACGCCCATCACTGTGTGCATCTATCTTACCTGGGGAAATCCCCTTTTAGTGATGTGGATAGCATAGTTTTTATGCAATGTACCATTCGCAATCCGTACACTAACTTGGCAATCTCTAGCCAACGGTTCTTAATGCAGCTGCCAAAAAGGTGAATTGACCAAGTACCTCCAGTTCTTCGTTGTCAAGAGAAAAGAGATTATCAAGTGGCTGAGTCCTGCAACAGAACTTTGCTTTTTGAATGTACGAAGTGCATGCTAGATGAGGGGATCATTCCAGAGTTTATTCAGGGTTACATGACCCGACTCAGCAGCAATAGGTATGGTATGCATAGCCCACCAGTCAGCACATCAACACCTGCATAGTGAGATTCCGCAAGGGCACACACCATGATGGAATCCAAGACAAAGTTAGACAAAATGTTGAACACCGCGTGAGCAATGAGTGTGTTCAGTGCCGCGTATTTGTGCGGGAAGAGCGAGTGAACCACATCACCATTATCTCACGCACCAGGCTCCGATGGCTGGGCCACGTGTTGCGCATGCCAGCACACCGACTTCCGCATCGTGCGTTGTTCGTGAGCCCGGAGTCTGAACGGAAGGAGGAGTGGAGGCATAGTGATGATTTGGTCAAGAGGAATGAAGTCTTTCACTTCGAATCTGACATCGGTAGGTTTTTCCCGACCGCCGTGTTAGGGACAGAAAGACGATGAACACGTTTGATTGGACACACTAGCTGACATGGCAAAGAGCCGATCTCAATAGCGTTCGTGTTGTGAGTCCCTTTGTCCCTCCCCTCTCTTTAGCTTGACCCCACCAACAACGACCTCAATCCTATGTATAATGTGGTATCTAGCGTTACGTTACTTTTATAGCGGTTTTAATCGGCAATGTTTAGTTTCTTGTCCTTTTTGTATTGTGGCACATTAGCTGAGGTGTGTTTCTGACCTACGGCTAACGTGTATTGATAATGATGATCTGGACAATCCTGGCGAACGTCACGTGCTGTCAAAAAGACGTCCGTTAATTCGCAGTGGACTCTTGCGCGACCTCTATAGTGTTCGAGTACAGAGTACGTAAAATGCTCACACATTTAATGGTGGCATTCTTTTGGTCAAGTAGGTTGATACGGTGACCGACTGGACGGAACACGCCCCTGAAATCAAGGAACACAGCTACAGTTGGTCTGCGATACGTGTGAAGCCGCTCGGCGACTGTCTACACAGCCCCGTAAAAGATAAAGGTCTGGCTATTCTCCTCCATCCGTGGTCCGCAGTAAGCTGGTGGATTAGAATGTAAATCACTAACTTAGCCGTTTAACACAGTGCGCAGGCCTCCGAGCATGAGCACTTGTAAACAAAAGCGAGTTGATAGACGCACAATAGTTCCCGTGGTCAAAAATACACCCAAGCATGAGAACGGAACTCCGTAGTTGCCTGTATAATGGATGGTACGGAAATTTGTGATAAATAGATAGAGATCTCAAGCGGGGTAACTATGTCTCGCAGACTGCAGGAAGATCGACTGTCTGTAAAGTGGTTATCGTAAGCCAGTCCTAAATCAAAAAACGACAATTCTCAAATTGGTAAATAGAATTGATTTCCTTAAAATGCTTAAGACTGCAAGAAATCTTGCAAATCGTGGAGTGAGAGTGGTAGAGTTGAAATGCAGTAGAGTGATCAGGATGATGAATCAATGAAAAAAGTTAACTTAATCAAGCACTCGGTGGACCCACTAACCTGCTGGGTGTTCGCATCGAAAGGGTCACCTATCACACGTTGCTTCGCGTACTCGGTGCTGAACTCTACGAACTTGTCATACACACCTTCTTCCACAAAAATGCGTGATGAGGCACAGCAACATTGACCCTGGTTCAAAAACAGCCCAACGTTAGCAGTCTGGACAGCAAGTTCCACTGCAAAGGAGAAAAGGATGATGCAGTATGTAACGAAATGATCTGAAAAACATTGAACAATCCAGTGTGCTTGAGTTGCGTCAGATTCAGAGAAAAACCAGTTTAAAGGCCAATAACCGAACCAGAGTAGAACTATGGACATGTCGAAAGCGAGCGCAAAAAAGAATAGTCTGGAGACGCGAAACATCTGGAGGCTTCCGGAAAAATGACATCAGCAGTACATCGATACGTAGTACTGACGCTTCGATGCTGCGCAACCACCACCAGTCGCACGTGGGCTGAGGATACTGCGAGGGTCACCCGGTCCCTACGCAGGCTTGAACCTGCGGCCTCGGATTACAAGATAGGCTTGTGATCCTTAAGGCTACGGGCTGACTATGAAAGTGTAACGTATTCTGTAACTGTGGTGCTACCTGACGTAAGATGCATACACAATACTTAGAGTGGTGCTATTCAAACAGAAGATGAAGTTTAAACTAGCGCGCTTTGACCCACGCACAAGTGGTGAGATGGGCAGCAGAAGTGGGTTGTCAATTTCCCAACAGAGAGATCAACGGAACGAATTTTTTGCGTATATTCTTGCTGGTAACTTGCCGCTTGGGTGAACTAAATACAAACGGAACGGTAGACGGCGCACATCGCTTGGCTGCAATCAATGTGTTTTCCGGTTCGCAGTCATACAACCACATGGTCTTCAGGAAGCATCATCGGATGTCGCAGGAATTGTGCAGCAGGTGGTCACTGATCCGGAGAGATTTAGCAAACTCCAACAGCAAATCGGTGGTTCAACAAAAAGTGATGATATCAAAATAGTGTTATTAAATGTCGGGAAAGATTGCATACCAGTCTAGCATAAGGAAAAACGGGGACACTTTGGAGTCATTGGGGTCCCATTAGCTGTTATTACATTGCAGACATTTCATATAGCAGTGGCAAGTAATTTCAAGCAAATACGAGGGTCGATGCCGCCAGTCATTTGCATGCTTCTTAAATACATAGCGAAAGTTATTACTCGTACCTCAACCGCATTGGTTATCAATTGGTGTTCTTGGGTATACCTGGGTGATTGTCATTGGCCACAGCAAAGTTCGTTGCAACGTGGGATGCATACGCTCAAATTTATTGGCACAAAATGCATATTAGCCACGGATGCATTTACGAAGACCGGATCCGTTGTTCGCTGTTTTTTGCAGATAGAGAATTTCTATCCGCCTGAAACGCATTTTTATCGGTTGTTGGTAGACAGGATCGAGATTGATCCGCTTGTTGGTTGACTTCTTCGTAGAAACAGGCTTCAAGAAACCTCCCTCCTTTTCTTGTTCCTCAATGCGTTATAATTTCCGATTTTGTATAATTAGTTGTATCCTTCGTAAACGTGTGCCGAAACCAATGAAGACAAATAGTGAATATTGTAGACTCGTTTGTGTTCCTATATCTATCAACATTTCTGTTTACAGGCTCCCACTGTCAGGTTTACACAGGTCATTTCACATTTCGGACATTGTATTATGCACATAGCATCCGGATGTTGGAAAATTTTCGGTTTTCCTTTGAAGCTCGAAAGCGCTTCGCTCAACGTGGCTGTGGGTTCGTGAGCTACAATCAGGTGGTGTGGTTAGAGTAGTCTGGTTGCCACAGTCAAATTATCCTCCTCTTCTTCGTTGGGATTACTTCGACATTTTCAGTCATGTGGCTCAGACAGCTCTGGAAGAAAGTGAAACACTGTGTCCCCTTTACCTACTTGGTCAACGAAAACAGAGGACGAAAGTTGCGATATGTTAACATTTCGATTGCTCCCCTCAGTCGCATATGCAATCTTTGGAAGAAATTGCTTGAATACTCGTTGCGTAGAAATGACTTGAACAACCATTTTCTTCTTTTCGTGCTGCTTCCCCAGCACTGCAGTGGGATTCTATCCGGCGAAGCAGAGTCCGTATGCAGCTAATGTTGCGACACCTCTGTGTTGAAACTCCGGATTTGGTCTGTGTGTCCCTTTTCTGCAACCCGAAGTCAGTCGTTCGACGTTTGCTAACGTTCGCCACTTATGGCGCCGGCGCGATATCACTGTCGCCCTGAAGGGTAGAGTGTACAATGCAGCGGCACGTTCGACCCTACTGTAGGGTTGCGAAACCTGGACCCTTAGAGCAGCGGACATAAAGATGCTAGTTACGTTCGACCACCGGTGCCTTCGCAATTTAGCTCACATCTGGTGGGAACACCGAGTGAGACACGAGCGTGTTCGACGCCTTGTTTACGGCACAGGAAAAGGAAATGAACCGCTCAGCATCGTCATTTCACGCACCAGGCTCAGATGGCTCGGCCACTTGTCACGCATGCCAGCCCACCGACTTCCACGACGTGCGTTGTTTGCTCACGGGGGTTGTGGATGGAAGAAGAGGAGAGGTGCCAAGCGATGACTTGGTCCAGAGGAATGAACGCCGTCACTTCTGAGCTGGCTTCGGTTGGAGCGTCTCGGCTCCCTGGTTGGGGTCCGAAAGACGATGAACACGTCTGGCTGGATGCAGTTGCTGATATTGCTAGAAGCCAACCGCAGTGGCATTCGTGCTGTGAGTTTCTTTGTCCCTCTCCCCATCCCTCTTAGCCTCCCCCTCCAACCACGATCTCACTATTTAGCCTTATATAATTTTGCATAGTAATTTTTTGAAGCACACTAGCCGGCTGTTAGCTTACCGGAACGATGCCCATCCGTTACCGGTAGCTCAGCAGGCTTGCACCAGTTGCATTTTCTCTCTCCATTTTTCCATGTATTGCAGCACAGTAGCTGAGGTGTTTCCCACCTCTAGCTAACGTGTATGATGATGATGACGAGTTCGACGTCCAGTGTCCTCTCGACTAACACGTCAAAAATGTGGGCTAGTATTCTACTCCGGATCTTATTGTGAAATGAATTCCGTGCGCTGCATTACTGGGCGGATTGTATACGGTCGGCATCTGTCCGCGCGTGATTAATATGAATGTATCTTTTGCATATTGGCCCCGTTGTTTTAGGTTGATGGTTTGCAGCAAATTCTTTACCATCTTTTGCGTCACAAGCTCCGCTATGAGTTTCGATCTTGAGGATCACATTTGCGCTCCATTGACCTGCTCCAAGATCACTCCGTCCAAAGTGAAGGAAGCCGCGAGACATTTGTTCTCGATTGTCAGTTTCCCGAGTGTTTGCTCACTGTTTGCCAGGTATTGTATGATGGCTTTCTTCGCTAATACTAGGTCAGAAAAAGTGAACAAGGCGGTGCCGTTGAACGATGTCATTATTTATTCATGGTCCATTCACATGCCTGCAAGTTAGCAAAAAAAATAGTTGGGGAGTGCTGATAGGGGACCGAGATCCGTTGGTTAGACATCTGAGTTGTTTACACAATTCGTTAGCCAAGTAATAGGTGGGCATGCCTGGAAGTGGCACGATTAGTCCCAGAGATGCAGCATCTTCCTTAGGCATTCCCGGAAGACCGTAGCACCGTGCTTTGTTTGACTTACGATCTTTCATCCTGTCGTGTTCCACTCATATGATATAATTTGGCTGTCGAGGCATTCGCAATGTGCTATTCACTTTATTCGTGGGTACCAGTTTTGGGTCATTTTCGATACATCTGTGTTGTTGTGTCTTCCATGAGCTGTTTTACCTTCTTAATGTATCCAGCGTTATCCATTATAACCGTTACGCGTCCCTTGTCCGCAGGTAAGATGATGATGGACTCCACGGTTTCCAGAGATTTTAATGCACTGTCCTCTTGCTGAATTGTAGTTGGGTCGTTTCTGTGAGTTATGGCTGGGACAATTGCATGCCTTAGTTCCGTCCTAGCCTCTTCATCGAGGTCAACAAATTCTAGGGTGTTTTCAAGCATGGTTAGAAATTCAGTGGTTGCGGCGTCTTCGAGGTTGTTACTGAGTTCTTTGATGAGGGCTTGTCGTTCAGCCCCACTAAGCAATTCGTTTAACAACTTACTGAAGCTGTCAACATTGTAATTTCCCGTTTGCACCTAATCAGTTTGATAAATTCTCCACAAAGTATCCTGTTTCTTCGTTCCAGCGTTGGCTGCAAGGCAGCAAAATTGGCATCAAAAATAAAGCGTTTTACAAATTGGTAGGTGACAATGTATTGGCAAGCGGGAGAGCCTACGGTGCGCTGAGGCTGGTGGTGGCTAGATCCTGACAGATGGTCTACCCACTGCTGCTACTGTTGTGCCATGGGCTTTATGTTCTAGACGCATCCTCGTGGCGAACGCTGGGTTGGAGCTGGGTTACGCCCTTCTCCCTGCTAAAATTCAGGACACCAATCCGCATGTCAGTGAACTGACCATGTAGGTTGATATCCCCGGCGTTGCTGCGCTTGATATGCATGTTGACAACGTGCCTACCTGTGTATTACCCACTACCTTGTTCATACTGGATCCAGGAGACAGATGGTCGTTGCTGGAGAGGACGGGGTGCACGGTCCTTGTGGCCGTGTTAGGATCAGAGTGGTTACATGCACTCAGTGTGGAGCGGACTACGGTCCAGCCAACGCCTTGTGTGCGATTGATTCCTAAATACAGTGTGCTTGTATTTGCATGTGAAGGAGTGTGGGCCGGATCCGGGTTTATACTGGATATGGGGTGTGTGGGTGGAGCTGTGGGTGGTGCAGCGCAAGCCACTCGTGGTCCCTCTGTAGGCGCAGGCGTCCTGTAGCTGGCCACAGTGACAGGCAAATCCGAAACCGGATACCACCAACCATTTATTGGCAACGGTCTAACGAATAGACAGAGCGAAACAAAACCACAGAAATCATAATAAGAATACAGATATGATCACCACATCATCATCATGGTTCAGTGGTTGAAAGTGAGCAACACACTTCAGAAGAACGGAACTGTTTTTGTTCGTTTTCAATTGTTAAGCACTAGACATCTGGATCTAAGCAAGCATGTACACAAATCCTCCACTGGTTTCGACTACGCGGCATATCCTGAAGTGTTTCTAGCCAACGGCACTCTTCGCCCCTTGGTCCCCAACCAGGCAGGTGTGTGGATCCAACGGCAGCAAGACGTGAAGTCAACGATTTCATATGATGACGCCAAGTGAACGGCTGACCAACAAGCGGTCTCTTCCACCCAAGTCATGCACGACAGAAAGAGGCGTAATAAGGTAAAAGGTGAGCTGGCATACGCAAATCGTGACCGAGCCATCTTAGCTGACGCAGCAAAACCAAGTTGAGGGGCATACTCGCATCCCCTAAGACACGACGTGGGACTTCACCGTTGCAACTAAGTTGTTGCTACCACATACGAGCAATCCTCTTCAAGCACCTATTGTCAAAAGCCGAGAGCCGACACATGTCATCCATGTGAACTGACCACGACTCACGTCTATATAGCAACACCGCCCGAAAGACGACACAGAACACGCGACCCTTAACCAACAGGGAGACATCCCGACGATGCCACAAGTGGTTCAGGTTTACGAGGCTGGCCGAGCTTTAGCGATGCGAAGAGAAACTACCTTCTCAATAGAGCCACCAGCAGACACGCAGCTGCCCAGGTAGACAAAGCAATCCACTTGTTCAATCTGTGTACCTTCCAGAGTGAGCACGGGAAGGGGCGAGTCCCAATCCTGGAGCAGCACTGTACACTTCAAGGGGGTGAAGTACAGACTGAACTTAAATGCCTCAATCGCCAATGGGTTTAGAACGATTTGTATGCTCTGTGAGTCGCCACAAAGTAAGGCGTTGTCATCGGCATAATCTAAGCCAGTCGCTCGCTTGCGGAGCAGTAGTTGTAGTCCAAAATTTTGACAACTAAAGCTCTCGACAGGACATCTCAATCGTAAAATTGAAGAGAAAAGGGGACAAAGAGCAGCCCTGTCGTACACCGCTATTGACAGCGAATGACGACAAAAGCTTGCTATAGACGCTCACCCAGCCGGAGATGTGGAGATAGAGTGCGCGTAGGATGGCTGTGTACTTTACTAGAATCCCGTTTCCTAGAAAACAGTGCCACAGCGCAGGTCGATCAACCGAGTGGAAAGCAGCACGGATGTCTTAGAATGCAACGATGGAAGGCCTTTGATGGAGGTGGTGGTGTTCGAGGATTTGGCAGAGCGTGAATATTTGATCCACACACCCACGGCCAGAACGGAAGCCAGCTTGTTCTTCCCGGTACTGCGATCCACGAATCGGGGATTAGAATGAATGCGAAAAGATTGGAAGTAACCGAAGTGGGACTAATCCCCTGGTGATTGGTGCATGAAGTGCGAGCACCCTTCTTGAAAAGCGAGACAATGACTGACCCGTCCCAGGAAGAATGCACCTTTTCTTCGTGCCAGGTTTTGGAGAAGTATGAAGTTAATTGGCTGATGATAACTACACCTTCATACTTGAACAGCTCCGGAGGAAGTCCGTCTGAGTCGGCGGATGTAAATCGTCTCAGATATCGAATCGCAAGACAAACTTCCGCATAACTGTGAGCATTAAGCGTGATGACCCAGGGCGAGCGGCTTGGTTCGCACGGCAAACAAATGGACGGTGAGGGCCAATTGAACTGGGAATGGAAATGTTCGGCCCATCGATTCGAGCGCCTCTGCAGGCTGACAATCGGCGAACCATCTGCTTCGCAAATAGCCTCACTGACACCAGAATTTTGTGGCCAGTGGATCGAGTGAGGTGAAAGAGCTTGCGAATATTGCTAGGTAGGGCAGCGGTAGGTAACAATGAAAAGGGTGTACTGTCATCAATCGGATAAACGGCCCGTGTGGCAGTTTTTAGATTTCCCCAGTTTACTTGTGCAAAATGAAAAGTAAATCATTAGTTCAATATACACTTAGACGATCGGTGCGGAACGCAGGACAGCGTGTTGAGTTCCATTGTTTGAATAGAGCATCGTCATTCGTTTGGCGCTCGTTTTGGCTGCAATGCACGACTGCGCTGTGTAAGACACACCTTTCGTTTCTCCTAGCTAGTAGTGTTGACTGAGTCATATTTTTAATAACTAGGCCAATACCGTACCGTACCGTACAAAACAAAAGCATCTATGCAACTTCATCTGCCTTCTGGAACCGCTAGCTGGGATTCCGCGAAACCCGGCTTTCTAGAGCAACAATCGCAAGATATTGAACAGAAACGGGATTTGCATCCAGTCAATGGGACAAAGTTTTATTACAATGTTATTTAACAACTGGTTTCAGTTGTCGTAAAAGTGCTTGTCCAAAAGCAATAAATCGGGAATAGTCGCCCTATTACAGCATTTATATTCAAAAGATGGATAGAGCGGACTGTTGCAGTGATCATGGAAATGGTTTGAACAAACAAGCTGTCGGATTATCCGTGCAAAACTGGTACATCTATAGTACGCAAGGTGAAAATGATCGGCGGAAATGATGATGACCGATTTGAAGGCATCGCCTGGAAAGCAGTAAATCAACATAGCTTTTACATAAAGTTCTCGAACATCTACATTCGCCCCAATTATGAACACGTCAGCCAACTGTCTGTCGACAGGCTTCCATTGAAAAGAATAGGTAATGTGTTACGTACACAGGAATGTGTCTTACAATCTAGGACGAAGTCACAAAAATGGTTAGCTGTCCCGTTGAATGGATTTGTGAACAGAAGGACAATATGAAGCAAATGTATCCATTTTCGGGATATATTTGTGTTTGACTTCTTAGTCGGCTCAATCATGTAGCCAGTTATTTAGCCATAAAACGGTATGACGAATCAGCTATAGATATTACTGACTTCAAAGACACTCTTACTGGATGCATTTTCGGCCGGGCATACAACGGTGGAGTATGGGTGCTTACGGGTTCTGACTCTTCATGCTCATCTGTCGAGAGGAAACCATGGGGTTGAAAGATACAGAATCCACGAGAGATTCTCCGCCATACGGATACTATCGAAAACGATAGTTGACTTGCATTGTATGTGATCAATGCCGCTGAGAGTCACCATGCACCGACCATGATGGCGCAAAGTGCCGTAGTTCGTTGGTAACTGGTCACCAATAAATGTCCCACAATGAGGCAACTGTAGGTGTGTGATAGGCTGCACGCATGCGAATGGAGAGATATGCCTGAGATATTTCCGTAGCAGCTCACATCCTTGTGACTTTATCAGCAATTTTGAATATATTTTCTCTTTCCAGCGTTCTCAAACTGTGAAGCTCACCAACTACATCATCGTCAGGTACCCCGCACGGAAAGTAGTAGTGACATCCGTTTGTGTTAAACAAGTACAAACAATGTCGTCGACTTTTCTGATACCGCAAAATGCCTCGTTAACTCGTTACCCGTTGGTTATCAGCTCACGGAGCTATTGGTGCAATAGCAACATCCGAAGCTAAGACCAGAACAAAGAATCACTATAAGCGCATGCTTCAGCATAAAGGCACCTGGAAGTTCAGAAGATCTTGGGGACGAAGTGGATGCAAAACAAGAATACAGGGATTAGAAAACTTACTGTCTGCATCGTTGAACACCAGTAAAGGACTCTTGCCGCCCAATTCCAATGTGATACGCTTGACACCATGTTGGAAGGCATTCACACCGACAAGGCGTCCTGTTCCTGTCGACCCAGTGAAAGCAATTTTGTCCACATCCGGATGCGCTACTAGGGCAGCTCCAGCAGTCTCTCCAAAGCTAGTAAAGTGCGAAAAACAAGTGGATTAGCCGGTAGACGTAAAACTGTTCCTCATTGGAGACATTCACAATATGTTTCCTCCGAGATTGAAGCAAAATGCTACATGCGAATGGTACATGTAGTGCAAGGAAGTGTTCATAACAAAGTTGCCACATAGTTTGCATAATAGGGAGAAGTCATTCTCTTCAGAACGTAGGTGGTGAGGCGTGTACAATAGTGGAATACCAAGGACACAACTCACCCAGGCACGATATTCACCACACCTGGAGGGAAGCCAGCTTCTTTGATCAACTGAGCCACATAGTTCGCAGTCAAAGGAGTCTGTTCGGCGGTTTTCATCACAACCGTATTGCCCATCGCCAGGGCCGGGGCTAGTTTCCATGCTTGCATCAAAAGGGGGAAATTCCATGGAATGATCTGTCCACAAACTCCAACCGGTTCATGACGAGTGAAACAAAAATAATCCCCATCGATTGGGATAGTTTTACCGTGGTTTTTATCAGCCCAACCAGCGTAGTAGCTGTTGATGTAGAAAAATACAGAGTGAAAGCTAAACAGTGGGAGGGCACCTTGTACAGAATTTCGAAGGCAATATGCTTGTCCCACTTGGGCCACTTTTGGCCGACGTCTACATAGGCATGTTGGAGGATGGCCCGTTGAAACCAGTTATTTCCACTTTCAGATTCTACCAACGTTACTTGGACGATATTTTCGGTATAGTAGATCCAAAGAGCAATTTTGCAGGATGTAGTCAAGTGCTACAACAAGGCACATCCCATTGCCCCACTCAGAGTAGAAGAAGCAAGCAACAATTGTCTGAGTTTCTTGGATGCATTGCTAAAAAGGAGAGCAGATGGGTCAATCCAGTCAGCACTATGCAGGAAGCCGTACTGGACGGGACAGTACACACACTTCCAGAGCTTCCTACCACTCAGTCGAAAAAGAACACTGGTGCATCCGTTGACTAACCGAAGCGAAGATACTATTGTCGATGAATTGAGGCGGATAAAAACACCCTTTTTGAAAATGGTTATCCAGAGCGCTTCATTGAAATCCATATGAAGCCAAACAACCAGAGGCCAATCATACAAACGGCTGAGCAGAAACAGCTGTTTCACAAGGTCCTCTTTAAGTGTGAGAAAGCAGCTGAGATATGTACGCGAAGATTAATGCAATCCTGTAGAAAGACCTTCAACGCAGCCCGCCTCAAACTGGTTTATACAAGCGAATCGCTAGTTGTCCCTAGATTCAAAGACAAAGTGCTTGATCAACTCCCGGCAATGGTGATATACCGGTTCACCTGCTCCGGTGGAGCTAGGTACATTGGACGCATGATCAGATAATTAGGAAAGCGAACCAATGAACATCTAGGAATTCGCTCATCAACGGAAAGGACAGGACTAATTTAAGTGCCATAAATAACCACCTGATCAGTACAGGGCACCACGTTGACAAGCTGCAGCGCGTTGAACAAGAGCTTGTAGCAATACGATTTTGTGCGTAGAATGAAAATCAACAGGTGAGACAGTCGAGCATTTAATTGAGATGGTTAAAACGAGTCAGGCATAAGCAATTGAAATGGGTTTAGTATACCATGAAGTCCTATCCGATGTGAGATTGTGAAAAACTAAAGATTTCTAGGGCGACTAGTTGACGCATTTGAATTATAAACGTGGACGCTAATGGACGGAGGCACAGTATACCACCATACGAAAACAATGATGATAGGGTACGCAAACGGGGTGAAGAAAGAGAGCTCACCGATAGCACTTGAGGACAAGTGATAGGTCACTTTTGTATGCCTCTAAGAAGGGTTTTCCATTGTCCAATGCCTCTAGTGACTGAAACAATGCATGAGAGCATTCAGGGTGTGGAACAGCATATCAAGGACGATGTGATGGAAGAACATTTGGATGCAATGACGCCTCACAAGAAACAGAGTAAACACACTCAATAATCCATTTCACACGTTAGAAACAAAAAGACGAGTTTGAAGTGGGATCTCGGTTCAGACGTGTAGCAATACGTATGCGACAAAAAAGCCCTGGAGTGGAGGATGAGTTTGTATGTAAAATCAGCAGTCATATGGCGGTCTTTGTGCGAGTGAAGAGCAAGTACCTGATGAACTGAAAGCTGTCCTTGTGCTATCAATATTCAGTGACCAGAGAAGCAAGAGGTGTGTCAACAATAATGGTAACACCCACTCGTTAGGCCACATAGGGAAGGTGATTACCTGGATTCTGCCCAATCCCCTCGTTACTCACGTCCTTGAATCAAGCATGGATGAGGAGCAGTGCAAATCCTGTTCGGGTCGCAGTACATTTGATACGGTGCTCGCTGCTAGTCAACTGCAAGAGAAGTACCGTTAATGAAACCAAAGCATTATAAGCACTACTCGTAGACATTAACAGGGCTTTTGACACAGTGAACCGTGAGGTAGTATTGCGTAAGTTCCAGGCAGACATATATTGGTCTGCACAGTGGTATGCGAACGAAGATGAAGCTGTGTGTCAACCGGTGGCCGAAGGGATTACGTGTTTGCCAAATAATCCGGAAGTAAGCGGTTTGAAACCGTGTAAGTGAGTGAAACCTCCTATTCAGCCAAGGCGCGACTGTTAGTGGTCTCGAGGCAGCAAAGAGTCGGTGTGGTTCTGGTGCTTTTCTCGTGGACAAACTACAGATGACGGAAATAAAACGGTGTCTTAACCAGTGCTCTAACACTTAACTAACTACCACAATGCACCAGGCATGAAATGTATGTGAATAAAGCGTTTACTTGGTGCACCGCGTCGATGATGAGTTGAGAGACATACGATGAGCTAGAGGGAAAAACGTGGTGTGCGAGACAACCATCCGAATATGGTTATTTGCAAATGATTGGGTATTGTCCGTACACAGTAAGGATGAATTGCAACACAAGATGTCTGCACTCGCTTCGATGGCGGCTAAATTTTGACTCACCATCAACAAGGAACGAAGCAAATGATTTGCCAGTAAAGCAACAAAGCTAAAAGACTCCAGGACCCGTCCAAATTGGTCTACCTCGGGAACACGCTGTAAACAGACCTACGGAGGAATTGAGCTGCGTACGCGTGTAGTAAATGCTAGTGCGGCTTTCGGCAAGTTGGAATACCGGGTATGTCAAAGCCACCGGCTGACCTCTGAAACTAACCTGATGCTGTACAGATCTATGGAGATGTCGAGTTTTGTTTATGGCAGCGAAACAATGCCATCAGGAATGCCTGAGTCTGGTTTTGTGCATTCGTTGGTGCGGCAGAGTTTCTGACACGGAGGTGGTCCGCCGGAACCTCATGTACGGAATGGACTAAATGCTGCAATTGCGACACCTGAGGTTGCTGGAACATGTCCTTAAGCTCGAGCTATTTGTTCACGTGAGAGTGTGTGCATCTGATGAAGTAATTCAACCCACACTACAACCAGTGAAGCCTTTGGGTCCGAGTGCGTAGTTTATTCCAGGACAAATTTGGGTTAACGCCTAGCGTAGATGTGGATAAAGGTGATAGCATAAGCGGTAAAGCATTTAGCTTCATTATACTTTACCTTATGCGTCTCAAATACGGTTGCATACCGAAGATGGGTATAAGTCTACGCTCTAGTACACGATAGCGGCCGAAATAAATGGTTGCGAAGACAATACCATAGTGTGAAGAACGTTAAATGAGAAAAGTATAAAACCAACGAAGGCAGGAAAACACAGAGTTGCACAACGAATCACAGCAGATAGGTGGATGTGGTATATTTACGACATCGTATTGCATACAACCATCGTACCGTAGTTGAACACGTTTGTATACAAAAAACGCATCAGCAGCATGACGGTACGCAGTATTGACGTTTCGCTACCGCGCAACCAACACCAGTTGCGCGTGGCCTAAGGATATTGTGAGGGTCGTCGGATCCTCTACGCAAGCCCGAACCCGCGAGCTCGGATTACAACGCAAACTTGTGATCATTAAGAGCAAGGGTCGGCCGTTTAAACATACTTGCGAATGTACAACGGAGCAACATGTCAAACAAGAGGTAAGCAACAGTCTGTGTAGCGAAAGGACAGCAGTGGACAGCAAAAGCAATTGTGATTTTGATTCCAAAGGCCAGAACATTTGTTTCGTTGATAACCTGACCCTCGTTACTTTCAATGTTTACACATATGAGTGCATAAATAAAACACCGCACGTTCATAAGTCTGCTAAGCGAAAAACAAGTCAAATGATAAGTAAACAAAAATGGTATGCCGTAAAAGCGGAATGTGTGTTGACAGCCACAGACCGCTTTAGTTAGCATCCGACAAAACGCAACACGGTGGATCTAGCTATCTCGATCCAGGCTGATAATAATACGAATAATTCAATGAAAACGGGAAAAAGTAAGCTCGCCAGAAAGGGTAACTGAGAGCCAAAAGTTAAGTAAGGCAGGTACCATGACCATTATATGAAAAGTTACCCACATCAGGCAGTTACGAACCCTATTCACTAACTCACCACACCACCTTACATATTGTGTTAACAAATGAACATAATAGCTGTATACAATGACTTCAATTTTCCAGTGAAACGAAAAATAAACATGCAACAATTGATGTGGTTGCCCAAGAGGATCCCAGCTTGTAAGATGACAAGAGCCGGCCCAACAGCCGTCTTTTTAAATGTAAGTGATTGACCATTCGATCAGTAGCCTAAAGGATCACAAGCTTGATTTGTAAGTCGAGGGCGCGTGTTCGACCCTGCGTAGGGGCAGATCGACCCTCGCAGTATCCTTAGCCCGCGTGCGCCAACGAAGTGTCGGTACTGCGAACCGCCTATGCCATTTTAGCATTCGGAAGATTCACCCAACAAGGCACAATAATATCAACTGACACATGTCGAAGCCGTCAATATGCATGTAGGTGAGGCACATGAGCGAGCTACGAAAAACGATTATGGTTCAACAAGTACTGCAAAGGAAGAATGGAATGTCTGCTGATATACATCCGATGGTAATATGTAGTAGCATGCGCTAGATCCTCCTAACAGATATTTGGTCAACAATTGGCAGGTAGTGGTCATCAATTACGGTCGGTACACCAGCGCCTTCAATGCACAGCGACATGATCGTGAACCATACCTTAACGCTGATCACACAACAGAGTTGGAAACCACAAAACACCTCTCACAGTCTACAGAAATGACTAGCTTTGACAAACACCACGAGAGTTCGTACTGTGTGCAGTAATCTACTCGACCATGCGGCCAACAGACAGGATTTAGCGAACTAAATGATTAAACCGATCTGCAAAATCGAGCAGCTGTTCGGCGATTGAGATAGCTAGAGATGAACCCAGACTTGTAGGAATACCTTGAAGATGCAAAGCAGAAATCAAAGCGTGAGGCAATCCGCGTCAGCCTATTCAGTTATGCCTGCATCCTACCAAAGGAAATCACGTCAACTACAGTAATCCCGGTTTAAGAATCAGAAGTCCACCAGTACATTATCATGGGGAGGAGTCAGGTATGAGCATTCGATCACGCAGTCGAAGAGAGAGAGAGAGAGACGACAGCTCTGACGTGCCCTACTTTTCATGCTGAACTCAGCGGTGAGTTCTTACAGGTCATCTCTAGGAAACGGAGGTGGCGAGGGATAGATTTTAACTGGAAAGAAATTCTCCGGTACCCATTCTCAAGTCAAGAAAGAACATCATGATGGGCTGTTTGAATAGCAATACTAAAGCACTTAGAAAAGAGTAAAAACGGGGTAAATGTACTCCTAACCGGAGGAGCAGGAAGTCAGCCTGACATTCACTGGTTCAATGGAACAATGGTGTATTACAGGTTAAAAAAAGCAATGCGAGTGTCAGTACGCGAATGCAGTATGACACACGGCAGCTGTTTGGGGTAATCGAGATGGGACAGCGACCAGGATGATCAGCATTGCACGTCCTTTGGCCTTGACCAACATAGGGAGGGTGGTTGGCTATCATAAAACCGAACACAGCACATAGAAATTCATGCTTTTGTCAGACTGAGATACTACCCAGTTAACCGTGTCGAAGTAGGAGTCCAAGGTTAAGGAAGATGCTACTAGCGAGCGGACGCTCCAGATCAAACGGTAACTTTACTCAGATGTATTCCAGCTGCGGTTAGTGATAAGTTGGTCAGTTGTAGCCAAGAGCAGCGTCTTGTTAAGTGATTACCGAGTACGGGGGACGATAAGGTATACACTGAGAAAAAAGATGCGGTAAAAAGTTTTGAGCAACACGTGAGCAGAGAAATCTATGGTAATCACTTGTGTGACATGCAGCGGTTCCGCAACAAGTTCTTTTGCAACATTCGGACTCTCATAAGCGACCTAAGTGCACGTACATGTTGCCAGCATCGATCACAATAGCTGAGCTTCGGGACATTTGGCCGAGGGATGGGGTTGGCGATCTACGAGTTGTCCTCGGATGGAGCACGTATAGTAAGAAACTATGATGTCCTAAGCCATTGAGTAGAAACTGAGATCTGGGCAACCAAGTCGGACAGCACACATGTTTATTGACTGGCGTACATTAACAACCATTTGTTTACACTTTCCGCAGAGTTCAAATCCGGTAACACAGACTCAATCTCACCAAAGTTGAAGATTTCTATTGTTGCTGGAATCCGTGCGAGTAGTCGAATAGCCGTTGAGCCATGAGTGTGCGTCTAAAAGATACTGCGCACATACCGAAAACGGAAAACGACAGCATACATGCTTGCCTACCAAGCTGACATAGTAGGAAGGATCCATGGTCTGAAAGACGACTCAAATACGCCCTTTGCAGATATCTGGGGTGGATTGCTGCTGGATAACCATGAAAAAACAAGTAACGGAGGACTACAACGGAAGAATAAGAATGGAGTTAAACGATGAGGTCGTGTGTTCGGATTATACTCTCAGGTTGTTCATGCCGAGAGATGGAATCCATGAGCGTGGACTAACCTTGGTCTTTCTAATCAATGTTCTGACTCACGTGGAAGAAAACAGTAGGTTCAGGTCTAGGTCGTTTATTTCTTGGGACGGAACACACGTACTTGGAACAAATAGCATGTACTGTGTTGCACTGTGTCTGAGTTTTTTGTGAAACTGCACCCAATAAGAAGAAATCTAGTTTAGGTGGACAACAGCGAGTCACCAAATAAAAAAGATACTACCCCGTTGTCAAAAATAAACAGTGGAGCCAGCACTCCATGACGATCCGGTTTGGGTTATACCTGGTAAGGTGCTGCGTTCAGTGTCTGCGCTTTGAAGTAAAGTAACCATCGAGCGTCCTCTCTTCGCTTAATGGATGAAAAGATCAGGTATGCCAAAACTTTAACCCCTGAGACCGGCTTGAGTTGAACGGTCATTAGGTACCCAATAAACGTGGCACCACGATAAGTTCGAGTACCGTCGCGATGGATTCAAGAAACGCGTAAGTAGAATAAATTCCGGAAATGCAGTGCGTTCTTGAACTGTCGAAAGCCAAAACAGATATAGTTACGATTGTTTCATGCAAAAGGTTTCCTAGGAGAAAATAGGATAAAAGTTATTAGGCCAAATGTTAAATAACATGGCAAAACGATAGCGCTAGCGAACTTACGGCTAAATAAACCCTATCTCGTTCGATCAAGTCAGCCAGACGATTGAGCAGTCGTCCACGATATGAAGCATTCATACGACGCCATTCAGAGCCAAGTGAGAATGCTTCTTTGGCAGCTTTCACTGCCTCGTCGATATCAACCTGTGGGTAAATGAGGCAATTATAAAGTTTATAAAACACAAGGTAGCGAAGAGCACTCTTTTCCGGAATCAAAATCAGTGGGCAGAACATGAAATCCGATTGATATTTTTCACTGTAACAGCCCGGTTCAAGAATTAACGGTGCTGGGTAACGCCTAATAAACTCGTTTAAAGTTTAACCTCACTACACCATGTCACTTACTCCAGGATAAACTGCGTGGTGCGTATATGGTGGAAAAGGCACAGAAATACCAACTCAAACGGTGGATACACTGCTGTGTATAATGATGCTGACAGGAAATAAAGTAACCTAAGCTAGAGCTAGTTGATCACATGAGAGTGTGTGTATCTGAGGAAGTATTTCAACCCATACTACAACCAGTGAACCACTTGATTAAGACCCAGTGCACCATGAGTTTTCATGCTAACTGTGGTTAGAGTAAGAGACCAAGACTGATTTGTCCCGGTTGATCAGTGTGCCATGGCTTTAAATGACAGTCCGAAGACGTAGAACACATATGGAGTCCATAGCAACCTACGAAAACGCAACAGCCTATGCTGGAGCCGGTGGAGTACGTCATCGGGTCACAAATGAATGACCAAACGCGGGGTCACATGCATCACGCATGTCCCGCGCGAAATCACGTTCAGCAACGTCGACAGGCGACGCGCATACTTGTCTGGTAACTTGATCCATTTTGTGAAGTCTAGGAAAACGTTAACCGTGCACAACTGTTGTGACTTTGCTGTGCTTAGGAATGGTTTCATGGAAAACAGGACTGTTTAAGCCGGTTATTCGTGTTCCCAATACGGCAATTAAATCAGTAAATGGCAAGCAATTGATTCCGGTCTCACAGGGCTCAAGTGTGCGTGCATCGAGAGGCAACGATCTCTTAGAATATCATGATCCTGAAGCAACGGTGTTCGGAGTAGCTTGATAGTGGATGATGCGTAGCGGAAGAGTGTCGCTCGATTCCGAGATCATGTAGCGTATCCTCATGGTTACAATGTATCAGCAGTATATAAGCACTCAAGCTGTGGTAATGCTGCCGTAGTGGTGCATTGCGGGCCATACGTTATTCAGCTAATTCGCCATTGTCACTCCCAATCAGCAGGCTAGTCTGGAAAAGCACTAGACGCTGGCGTTTCGACTTTCTGTGTCTCGTCATTGGTGCGTCTCCCAGCGGACCCCTGCCGGGATCCGCCCCTATGGCTTCAGGATGCCAGCAGCTAGTGCCACCTCGCCATGGGTGACAGCTGCAGAGCTGAGTGATTGACAGTTGACTATGATATAGCCCGGCTCATCTTCCACTGCCATGCCAGTTACGAACTGTGCACTGGACAATGGCTAGCCTCACGAGCTAGGACTTTCCGCATAGCGCCTATGTACCACATAGGACTTAGAAGTTATACGGACATATTTTATAGTACCGATGAGTAGTAGTGAGGATTTCGGTATAATTCAGCTAATTCAGTACTAGGCATCAGCACTATAAAATACGTCCGTATAGCTTCTAAGTCCTATGTGGTACATAGGCGCTATGCGGAAAGTCCTAGCTCGTGTGGCTAGCCATTGTCCATTGCACAGTTCGTAACTGGCATGGCAGTGGAAGATGAGCCGGGCTATATCATAGTCAACTGTCAATCACTCAGCTCTGCAGCTGTCACCCATGGCGAGGTGGCACTAGCTGCTGGCATCCTGAAGCCATGAGGGCGGAACCCGGCAGGGGTCCGCTGGGAGACGCACCAATGACGAGACCCAGAAAGTCGAAACGCCGGCGTCTGGTGCTTTTCCAGACTAGCCTAAGCCTGCTGATTGGGAGTGACAACGATGAATTAGCTGAATTATACCAAAATCCTCACTACTATTCATCAGTTCCATACGTTATTGCCTCCTTGCAGAAATGAAAGCCGCATATTCGGACATTAGGTCCGAGACCCTGAGCGATTCGAATGGGACACCGGTCCAGTTAGCTTTCAGCAAATGTGCCCTAAGCCTAGGTAGATCACCACTATTAACTATAAGGGTCAAAGATGAAAAATAGTTCAGCAAAAGAAGTAAGCTTAGTAGATAGTGAAACCCAGTACAAAAGACTAAGGAGTAGCCTTATAGGGTGCTGGCGTAGAAATGGTTCCATATGATAATCAGTGGCACCCAGAAAAACAAAAAGACGGGAAAATGCATATGACACAAAACCGTTACAAGATGCTCAAACAATAGTGTGAAAACTTTTAAATTAAAAGAGTAAGGTTTGCTGAACAACCTCGTGGTGCCAGCTGTGTGATCCGGATTATCCAGTTCCTGCCAACAGTTCGGCGGCAGTGTTCCAGGAAGTACTGGGTTTTCGCCTGGCAAGCGATCTCAGTAGAAAAAGCCACAAATGTCTGTTTAACAACATCGTGACATGGCGAATGTGACTCGCCACTGAATAAAGTCACTGCACTTTGTTTCACTCCGGTGGAGCATTGTAAATCCAGCAACCCGATGTTAAGATTGCCATCCTACGTGACGACCCATAGATCATATAGGTCGTTCTAAACTGCTTGGTGATTGAAGCTATCAAGTATGACATGACCTTCGCTCCATCGAAATGCAAGATCCTACTCCAGGATTGCAAACCACCTTCCCCCGTGCTGAGTCTTGAAGTTACACAGTTTGAACAAGTAGACAGCTTTATCTGCCTTGGAAGCTGCGTTTAATCTGATGGCACCATTGAAAGAGAGATTTCACTCCGTAGTGCCGAAACCCAATCAGCTTTCGCGGAACTAAGGCATCTGTGGCATCGTCATGACGTTTCACTCTCGGTAAAGGGTAGGGTCAACAATGTCTGTGTTCGCGCAGGTTTGTTGTATGGAACCAAGTCCTGGTCGATCGGTGTAAATGGTTTGTGTGGGATTTCGGCCTTTGACAAGGGTTGTCTTCACCGAATAGCTCGTGTGTGGTTGGAATAACACGTGTGCAACATCGATGTTAGACGTCGAGTCCTAGCTTATAGGGGGCCTACTTCTCGAGAAGCCCATATCGCTGCGACAACTGAGGTGGTTAGGTCACGTCCTACGCATGCTGTGCGAGCGTTTACCACGGCGCGCTCTATTCGCTCGCGCAGGACCGCACTGGAAGAAACTGCGCGGTGGCCAACCTACCACTTAGCGACAAAACGTTCATGCGCTGGCTTCCAGTCTAACTGTAGTTGGCTCCGTAGGTGTTCCTGGCTGGGGAGTCAGAAATGGAGTATATCGCTCGCTTGTGACTCGTGAGGACATGACGAATAATCGCAGACAATGGAAGGCTTGCATGAGTCTTGCATTGATTTCACTGATCAACACCGTAATCACTAAAGTGACAAAAAACGACAAAACGGCGTGTGAAAAACAAGAGATTCTCCTTGTGTATTTTCCATTGTGTAATCTGTACTTAGTATACACATGACTATTGCATTGTATTGCCCGGTGTTAATTCCATAGAAAGGTCGTCCAACGTATGCCAAAGTAAATTCGGCGAGAGTATCGCATTCACGGAGCAAAATGCAGCTTGTATAAAGCAGCTAGAGGACGAGAACCTTAAATACCTGTACAAACGTAGAAGAGAAACCAATCAGCCAAAATTATAGAGTCATATTGTCATAATACTAATCCAATTTCAAGCAATAATACTTGGTCGTCAATAAAATTCTACACGTCACCTTGAGGTGAGAAATATATCAAAAGAAAAGACAAAGGAACCGCGGACACTAGCGCCATTGAGGCGGTCTCTTCGCCATGTAAACAAATGCCTCCAACCAAACATGTTCATCTATCGGACCCAAACAAAAAGGTCGAGATTCCGACAGAGGTTAACTTCGAAGTGGGGGTCTTCATGCCCCTCGGCTAATTCATCGGACGACCTTTTCTCCTATTCTTCTATTCAGATCCCAGTCGCGCAAACAACGCACGTCGCTGGAGTCGGTGTGCTGGCACGCGCAACACGTGGCTCAGTTATCGGAGGCTGATGCGGGAAATAATGGTGCTAAGCGGTTCACATGAGCTTTCGATGTCAGTAACACGACAGCAAACGCGCTCATCGCTCAGATGATGTACGCACAAGACATGAGCTAAACTGCGAAGGCAGCAGCAGTCGAACGCGATTAACCTCATTACGTCCGCCGTTTCAAAACCGTACAGAAGGGCTGAAAGTATGGTGGCAACGTAGACCTTACCCTTATGAGGAAACGTGAAACCACAGCGGTGCCATAAGTGGCGAAGATTAGAAAGAGCACCCCGACCTTGTGCTATGCGGTTCGCAATTTCATCCCCATTCCCACAGTTGATATAGCCGCCTAGGCAGTTAAATTCTTGAAGGACTTATACCTGGTCCCCACCAAGTGTCAGCTTAGGGTGTAGTCCCTGCTAATCTTGGAGGAAAGCTTTGCATTTGGGAGGTGAAAAGTGGAGCTCGAAACAATTGACAACCAATGCTAATCCGTTCCGCACTGCTTGACAGGTCAGTAATCTGTCGCTAAGAAAGACAACGTTGTTGGGATACGCTAAGTTGAAAAGTAGTCTTTAAGGTGGCGCGATGTTTTGCGTAACTGTGACTCAATGACTCACGATGGGTGGCACTTTACAAGTGCCTTCAGAGCTACTCACAGCAGAAGGGTCAATGGTTATGAGTCAGACTAACGCAGTCTCAGAAAGCAATCATTTTTGGAGATTAGACGGGTCAATAGACCTTTTCCTTTAAAACCCAGCCATGGGGGACAGCGGGTCTATGGGTTATAAGCTCATAGTTCGATTGGCGTAGAGCACGAGCGTCAAGAATTGCTTGTAAAAGTGGGAGGACACCGCCCAGTGCTCAATGGTTTGCTACCACCCGCCCCAAGCCAGACAGCTTTTGGTCAAGTTAATGCAAACCCGCCAACTATCACCTGCAGCTAGCCGTGGGCGCAGATGCGAAGCATATGGTTGACTGCATCCGGTTCCGGATTTGCTTGTCACTGTGGCCTCCACAGGACAGCCACAGGA